CTCGGGCGATTGGTATTAAAATTAATATTAGTACTAGTACTAGTACTAGTACTATTATTAATACTAGTATTAGTTTTAGTATTAGTATTCGTATTAGTATTAGTAAAAGTAGTAGCATTAGCATTAGTTCTAGTATTAGTATTAGTATCAGTATTATTATTAGTAGTAGTAGTAGTAGTAGTATTCGTATTCGTATTCGTAGTCGTATTAGTATTAGTATTAGTATTAGTATTCGTATTAGTATTAGTATTAGTATTAGTATTAGTATTAGTATTAGTATCAGTATCAGTATTAGTATTAGTATCAGTATCAGTATTAGTATTAGTATTAGTATTAGTATTAGTATTAGTATTAGTATTAGTATTAGTAGCAGTATTTGTATTAGTATTAGTATTAGTATTAGTAATAGTATTAGTATTAGTATTAGTCTTAGTATCAGTATCAGTATAAGTATTAGTATTAGTATTGGTATTAGTATTAGTAGTAATGTTAGTATTCGTATTGGTATTAGTATTAGTATTAGTATTAGTATTAGTATTAGTATTGGTAGTAGTATTAGTAGTAGTAGTATTAGTATTAGTATCAGTATTCGTATTAAGTTTAGTATTAGTACTACTATTAGTTTAGTAGTAGTAGTAGTACGAGTATTAGTATTAGTAGTAGTAGTAGTAGTAGCATTATTATTCGTTTTAGTATTAGTGTTTCGTATGTGTACTGCTACGAATGTTATTATTAGTAGTAGCTTTAGTGTCAGTATTACTATGAGTACTAGTACTAGCTTTCATACGAGTAAGAATATGCGTATTGGTATTAGTACTAGAGTTAGTAGCAGTATTAGGATTCAAAATAGTGTTGGTAATAGTATTAGTATTACAACTAGAAATAGTATTCTTAATAGTAGTAGTGTGAGCATTCCTATTAATATTAGTTACAGTGTAGTATTAGTAGTACCATTAGTATTAACAATAGCGTTAGCATTAGTATTAGCATTAGTATCCGTACTAGTATTCCTATAAGTGCGAGTATCAATAATACTACCCGTCATATTCGTAGCATTCGCGTTATTAGCAGGTGTCGTCCCGTTATTCTTCTCAGTAGGAGTAGTTTGCATAGTACGACTTAGTAGTAGTAGTAGTAGTCGTCGTCGTCGTCGTCGTCGTCGTAGTAGTAATATTAGCATGGTTAGTAGTAGTATTATCAGCATTGTCATTTGCAGTCTTGTGCGCATTACGGATGCCACTATTTCTCTTAGCGACAGTAACAATATGATTGCTAGCATCAATACTACACTACTATGAATACCAATAGTAGTAGCATCCATACCATATTTGCTGGCATTAACCCTGGTAGTCGCAGTACCACCAGGATTCTAAGTATTACTATTAGTAGTATGATAACTCGTAGTAACAGCATGATAAACGTCATGAATATTATTCGTAATATCATTATTGTGAGTTTTAGTTGGGTCCGTCGCATGTTCCCTATTATTCTTACTATTCGTATGATGATTCTTTTTCGTATCATCATTAGTATTTCTACACATTAATATTCTTAGTAATATTATTCGTAATGCTATTATTACTGGTTTTAGCATTCGAATTCGTAGTGCTCCTATTTCTTTGCATTGTTAAGATTACTCTTCTTAATGATTCCTCTTTTTAGTAGTGCCAGTCCTACTGTTATTAATTGTCTTCGTTGCCAGCATCATAGCGTCAGCAGCAGCACCCGCATCGCCGTTAGCATCGTCATCATCACCATCATCAGAATCATCAGCATCACCACAATCACCAGCATCATCATCATCCACATCATCATCATCACCATCATCATCACCATCATCACAAATATCAGCATCATCATCTTCACCATCACAAACATCCTGGCATCCCATGTTCTGCCCCTCCTCATGCCTCTGCACCCCGTTTCCACTGTCCTACCCTTCCTCCTCCTCCTCCTCTCCCTCCTCCTCCTCCTCCTCCTCCTCTTCCTCCTCCTCCTCCTCCTCATCCTCCTCCTCCTCCTCCTCCTCCCCCTCCTCCTCCTCCTCCTCCTCCTCCTCCTCCTCCTCCTCCTGTTCCTCCTTCTCCTCCTCCCCCTCCTGTTCCTCCTCCTGTTCCTCCTTCTGCCCCCGCTAGCCGTTCTCACGACAACGGCGGCACAAATTTGCAACGCGGGAAGCACTGAGAACACGAGCCAAATCCCATCTCGGCCGTTGTCCTACTCGTCCCCGCCCTCCTTGTACTCCTGCGTCGTCTCCCCTTCTTCCCTCTCATCCACCCTCCTCCTCCTCCTCATCCTCCTCAATTCCTTCCCCTTCTAGATAACTCCTCCCTGTCGCACCCCGAGGCCAGTTTTTAGGGCGGACCGGGCGCTTCGCCTGAGACTTCCTCACAATGTATGACTCTGAAGCTTAAAAAGCTGCAAGAGATTCACAGATGGAGGGCGGGTCGCTTTCAAAAATGTGGCTGTCGCCTTAGCGCCGCGCACATTCGTTTTAAGAGCTTCACGGACTGAGGGCGGGTGGTTTTCAAAATGTGGCTCTCGCCTCAGCGCCGCGCACATTCGATTTAAACATTTGTAAGAAGTTTCACGGATTGAGGGCTGGTGGTTCTCAAAATGTGGCTCTCGCCTTAGCGCCGCGCACATTCGTTTTAAACATTATGATAACGGAGTTCCCCACATAAGGATGTTACGGGGTTGGCGGGATCACGAGGGCATGAAAGCAGTGCCAAAAAATGAATGCCTATGATGTCCATATATTGTCATGGAAGGGCCGACGGAGGCGAGGAGGGGAAGCAGCACGGGGGCGAGGATGGATGTGTAACACGCGGTCAAAGAAGGCTGTCATCATCGTCGTCATCGTCATCGTCATGTTCATCATGATCATCTCCACCATCATCAACCCTTCCTCATCCCCGAACTCCCCCTCCTCCTCGCAGGCGCAGGCGGGGCCTCCCTGGAGGGGTGGGAGGGGAACCTTGAAAATACTATGGTTTTGGGATACCCTCCTCGCTCAGGCGGGGCCTCCCTGGAGGAGGGGCACGAAACCGTGTACATAGTATGGTGTTGGGATACCTTCCTCGCTCAGGCGGGGCCCCCCTGGAGGGGTGGGAGGGGCACGAAACCATGTAAATAGTATGGTTTAGGGGATAACCTCCTCGCTCAGGCGGGGCCTCCCTGGAGGGGTGGGAGGGGCACGAAACCGTGCAAAAAGTATGGTGCTGGGAGCCTCTCTGGAAGGGTGGTAGGGGCACGACACCTTGGAAATACGATGGTTTGGGGATACCCTCCTCGCTCAGGCGGGGCCCCCCTGGAGGTGTGGGAGGGGCACGGGAAACCCTCCTCGCTCAGGCGGGGCCTGCCTAGAGGGGTGGGAGGGGCACCAAACTTTGTAAGTCCTATGGTTTGGGGATGCCCTCCTCGCTCAGGCGGGGCCTGCCTGGAGGGCTGGGAAGGGCACGAAACCACATAAATACTAAGGTTGTGGGGTACCCTCCTCGCTCGGGCGGGCCCCCCTGGAGGGAGATGGGAGGGGCACGAAACCGTGTAAATAGTATGGTTTGGGGGTACCATCCTCGCTCGGGCGGGGCCTCCCTGCAGAGGTGGGAGGGGCGCGAAACATGATACCTAGAATGGTTTTGGGATACCCTCCTCGCTCAGGCGGGGGCCCCCTAGAAGGCTGGGAGGGGCACGGAACCTTGTAAATAAAATGGTTTTGGGATACCCTCCTCGCGCAGGCGGGGCCTCTCTGGAGGGGTGGGAGGGGCACGAATCGTGATAACTAGTATGGTTTGCGACTACCCTGCTCGCTCTGGCGGAGCCTCCCTGGAGGGGTGGGAGGCGCACGAAACCTGATATCTAGTATGGTTTACGAATACGATAGGTATGGTATGGATGGTATAATATAATATAATGTAATCTGATACGTATGGTGTGGTAGGGGATGACAGGTAATACGATCGGTATGGCATGGCAGGTATGGTATAGTAAAGTACGTATGGTATGGTAGGGTATGGTATGGTATAATGCGTAGTAATATAGTACGTATGGTATTGGTAGGGTGCGGCAGGTATGGTATGGCATACGTGAAGGAAGCGGAGAAGGAGGAGAAGGAGAAGGAGAAGGAGAGGGTGGTCTAGGAAAACAAGAACCCCACTCAGGATCTGGGGAATTGCAAGAGCTTCACGGATTGAAAGCGGGTCGTTTTCAAAATGTGGCTCTCGCCTTAGCGCCGCGCACACCCGTCTTAAAAAATTGCAAGAGCTTCACGGATTGAGGGCGGCTCCTTTTCAAAATGCGGTTTTCGCCTCAGCGCCGCGCACATTCGCTTTAAAGAGTTGCAAGAGTTTCACGGATTGGTGAAAAGTTACAAAAGCTTCACGGATTGAGGGCGGCTCCTCTTCAAAATGTGGCTCTCGCCTCAGCGCCGCGCACATTCGCTTTAAAGAGTTGCAAGAGTTTCACGGATTGGTGAAAAGTTGCAAAAGCTTCACGGATTGAGGGCGGCTCCTCTTCAAAATGTTGCTCTCGCCTCAGCGCCGCGCACATTCGTCTTAAAAAACTACAAAAGTTCCACGGGCTCCCATGATCAACGCAACAGAAATTGCGTTTTGTATGGATTCAGGATCATGCGGGCGCAGCAATTATGTTGATTCGCTGTGTTGAAATCCCAAGAATGGCGTTCTGCCACGATTTTGGGTCCCCAATACGCAGCAGTCAGGTTGATACGTGGCGTTGAAATTCCGAGAACAGTGATTTGGCACGCTTCAGGATCTTCAAACTGTTGTCTTCCAACGAGGCAATTCCCTCGTTAGAAAAGAACCGTTGTAGGGGCCCATGAAGAGGGAGCTTGGAGGAAGGGTCAGTTCCAACATCGTTGATGACTCTTGAGTTTCCACTGGTCCTCCTCCTCCTACTCCTCCTCGTCCTCCTCCTCCTCCTCCTCATCCTCCTCCTCCTCTGTCTCCTGCCCATCCTCCTCCTTGAACGGATGGTTGGACCCGACGCCAATGATCGCTTCGAAAGCAGCCGTGTTCAGGATCGGCATCACAGCGAAAGTAACCTCCGGCACGCAGCTGGCCCGACAGGGAGGATGGAGGGCAGAGGGGCGGCTCCAGCACCGCATGACGGCCTGCGGATCTCCGAGAAGGAAAGGATGAAGGACTCGAGGAGGAAGAGGGGGACAAGAGACGACGACAAACGCGGAGAGAGGAGGAGGTGGGACCCGCCGATGGTGCCTGGATTCCACAAGAGCTACTGGCACGATGGCCCCTGCTCACGTTGAGCTCTGGCTCCAGAACCTGGGTCCCAAACGACTGGGCTTGGGCCAGCGCGAGCCCAAAAGAGGCGAGCACAGCAGAAAAGACGGACGGGCCTCCTGAGGCCTTTCGCCAAAGGATCCACAGGGCCCTTGCCCGTTCTGGGGTGGCGTTTCACCGAATGCACCGAACTACGAATCATGGGAGCGGGGGCGATGGGCACGTAGGGCAGCTACCTGAGAGGTCCCTCCCCCATTATTCTCAGAAGCGTCGCCCGCGCAGCGCGGGCAAAAGAGGAGAGCGCCAGCCCAAGGCTGGCCAGCGCGCCTGCGCTTCCTCAGTCGCGAAGACGGCAGCCGCCAGGCTCTAGTGGCCGTGGACGCTCCACTCGGGTCGGGCGAAAGGGGGAGATAGCAAAAGGGGGGTTTGAGAATCAGCTCACGTAGCTGATTTTCCCGGCGCCTCCCGGCGCCGGAGGCGGCTACGTATCGAGGAATGGGCCCCTCGGCGAGGCCGAAACCAGCTGTATGCAGCAAACTTCGCAACCCCCCCTTTTCCCAATCCCCCCCTTTCGTCCAGCCCGATCCACGAGGCCGGCGCCTCCACGGCTGCACTGCCGCCAGAGGGGGCGAGCCGCTGCAGCTGCTCCGAGCGGCCGCAGGGCGGCGACCGGCCGCCCGCGCAGGCGTCCTGGGCGGCGCCCGCGGCGCCTCGCGCGGCGGGCGCCGGGGCGGCGCGGAGCCCTGCACGACCAGATCGCCACTCGCCCCGCTGGCCGCAGCCGCGTGCCGCACCACCCTCGGCCGCGGGCGGGGCGGGAGGCGAGCTGCCTCCTGCACTCGCCTGCATGCCGAGGGGGCAAAAGCCAGCTGGCGGAGCCACACCCTCGTGGCGCGGCGCTGCGGCCGCTGCGGGCTCAGCACCGGGAGCGCCTGGCAGCGTCGCTGTCTCCGCTGCGGGCTGCAGTCCTGAGGCAACCACTGGGGGTGGGCCCCCCTGCCGCGTCTGCAGAGGCCGCCGCGGTGCCATCTGGCGCTGCTTGGGGCGGTTTGCCAGCTCGGTGATCTGGCCCCTGCGCCCCTTGAAGTCGGTAGCCGCCGCGCCGAAGACGCTGCCGACAGCCGTGCCGAGCTCGGTCTTGAAGTCATGCCTCAGCTTCTCGAACTGGCACTGATCCCCCTAGGGATGTCCAGCGAATCAAGATCGAACAAGTCGCCATCCACGAAAGCAAAGCTGTCTGGCTTCTCCAGGAGGCTGGACAGGTGGAGAATGGTGCCCGTCGTGGAATCGGCTGGGGGGCTGCTGCCGGCCTCGGAGAACTTGGGCAGCTGCGCCTTGACCGCCATCACATGGTGGGCCTCGCTGAACTGCGCCTTCGTCTGCACCACCGCCCTCACCGCGTCCTAGTCTCCACGCGGCACGCGGCATACCAGAGATGCGCCTCTCCTCCTCCTCCTCCTCCTCCTCCTCCTCCTCCTCCTCCTCCTCATCCTCCTCCTCCTCCTCCTCCTCCTCAGCCACGGCATTGCGCTGCAGGTTGGCCTCCGCCCTGCGGCGCGCTGCCGACGCCATGGCAATGTCAGTCTCGAGCACCCGCGGCTTGGAGCTGGCCGCCTCGAGGGATGGCTCGACGTCCTCCTGCATCTTGGCGAACTGATCGGCGGGCAGCTTCCCCTTGACGAGGCCGGCAGCGCCTTCGAGGCCCAGCTCAAGCGTCCTGTGGGCGAGTGGCGGCCAGTCCGCTGCCCACGGTGCCAGCTGCCGGCCTTGCCCCCGGTGGGGGCCACGCGAGCCTGACGGAGCCCTGCGCCACGGTCTCACGTCGGAGCCCGCTGCGCCATCACCGCCACCTTGGCCGTTGCCGCCCTTGGGAGCCCCGCGGCATCTCCTCCTCGGCCTCGGCCGCCAGCGCCTGCGCCCCTGCCGCCGAGCGCGGGGCCGCGCTGGCAGCACTCGGCGTGGTGGCCGAGGCTCCAGCCGTAGCCGCCGGCGCCGCACCCGGCGTGGCCGACGTGCGCCCTGGGCCTGGGCGTGGGCCACGCCTCTGTGCGCGTGGGCGGCGGCCTCGTGGCCCCCCGCGGCAGGGCCTCGCCGCGGAGGGCGGCCAGGCGGCGCCGCGCCGCCTCGAGGCGCAGGAGCGGGAGCGCAGAGGCCCGCGCGGCCGCGCCGCGCCGCCTCGCAAGCTGCTGTCGCGCGCACCGCGGCCCGCGCGTCGGGCCCGCCGGCGCCCGGGGCTCTGCCGCGGGCCGAGGGGCGGCCGCGGCTGCAGAGCCAAGCCTGGGAGGAGGAGGAGGAGGAGGAGGAGGAGGAGGAGGAGGAGGAGGAGGCGGAGAAGGACGACGACGACGACGAAGGCAGGAGAGTTGGAGGATGAGAAGGAGGAGGAAGAGGAGGAGGAGGAGGAGGAGCAGGAGGAGAGAAAGGACGAGGGGGAGGTGGGGTTCAAGGGGGAAGGAGCAGGAGGAGAGAGATAGAGGGGGAGCGAGAGCGAGAGAGAGGGAAAGAAAGAGAGACAGAGAGAGAGAGAGAGAGAAACAAAAAAAAAAAAAAATGAGGGGGGGGGGGCGCGCACGAAAATCGGAATGAGTCCTGACGAGGTCCCGCGGCACCAGCCTGTGGCGACCTTTGGATGGCTACTCTGTGCGACATAATGGCTTCGCAATACATGCTGCCAAGACTTCCTGCTTCATCTGGCGGTTTCCCGTTTGTTTTTTCGCAGGCCTCTTGGTCCCCGGTGTCCCCCAGCGCTGGGGGTGACCCCGACAAGACCTTCCTCGCGGCCACTTTCAAACGGGAAGCCCTTGCAGATAGTTCGTGTCAGCAGCTCCTCTTCATTTTGCTGCTCATTTGAAATTGTCCTGGCAGGCGCTCGGGCCCAAGGTTCTCTTTGCGTTGTCAGACCTTTGGCCCGGGGTGGAGAGGAGGAGGAGGAGGAGGAGGAGGAGGAAGAGGAGGAGGAGGAGGAGGAGGAGGAGGAGGAAGAGAGGGATGAGGAGCGTTTCGCTAGAGACATCCTCACAAAGTAGGGATGTTGCATACGACGTCGATTCTCAAAATTGAAGTATTCGCCCGAGACCTTCCCAGACAAACGAAATATTGAAGATCGGACGTCGGATAACCAACATGCTGCGGGGCAGCGTTTCGCCTAAAACATCCTCACATCATGGGGATGCGGGAAGAGTTGTTGTTCTACTCTGGTTCGCTGGTTCTCAAACATGAGGCTTTCGCCTGAGACGTCATCAGAAAAATTATATGTTGGAGATCGGGCCTCGGATATCCAACACATTTTGGAGGAGCGTTTCGCCTGAGACATACTGACAACATGGGGATGTTGGAGGAGTTGATTTACGACGTTGGTTCTCAAAATGAAATTCTCGAAAGGGGCATCCTGACAAGACTGAAATGATGAAGATCGGACGTGGGATATCCTAAATGGTATGTGTGTGTGGAGGGGGGGGGGGGGGGCGTTTCGCCTGGGACATCCTCACAACATGGGGATGGTGGAGGAATTGTTGTTCAACGTTGGTTCTTTTCAAAACCGCTTTCGCCTGAGACATCCTCAAAACTTGAATGTTGGAGATCGGGCGTCGGATATCCAAAATGGTGTGGGGAGCGAGGAGGGGTGGGGGGGGGGGGGGGCGTTTCCTCTGGTTCTCGAAACTGAAGCTTTCGATTAGGATATCCTCAGAAAGTTGTAGATCGGGCATCGGATATCCAACATGGTGTGGGGGACGTTTCGCCTGAGACATCCCCACAACATGGAAATGTTGAAGGAGTGCTTTACGACGAGGCTGGTTCTCAAAAGTGAAAATTTCGCCTGAGACATCCTCAGGATAATCATATGTTAAAGATCAGGCATCGGACATCTGTTATGGTGTGGTGGGGGCCTTTCGCCTGAGATATTCTCGCGTCATGGGAGTGTTGGCGTCGTTGCGTTGCTGAGCTGGCTGACAAAAATGAAGCTTTCGCATGCGACAACCCAAAACAACGAAATGGTAAGCTCGGGAGTTGGATGTCGAACTCGGTGTGGCGAGGCGTTTCGCTGCAGACACCCCCATTCGAAAGGATATGTTCAGCGAGCTCCCGATATGTTCAGCGAGCTCCCGAATGCGACGTGCATTCAAGAGCTTTACTCTCGTCTGAGACACCCTCACAAATTGAGGCGCTACCAGAAAAGTCTGACAGCATGGGATGTTTACGTACGTTCCGTACAGAATTCGTGGGTCCCTCAAATGATCAACAACACTCTTTCTGACGCACATGCCTCGCGGTGCGGTCCCGCCAGAGAAGCCTCCGTGGGCCGTGGGGTTCACCGAGCTCTTCCGTGGGCAACCTCTCCCCGGCACCTCCCCGGCACCGCCGTTGGGGCTGCCGCATCTGAAGAATGGCAACCCAGCCCAACGGGCGACCCCGGCACCTGGGGTCGCCCCGCTACCCTCCGACTTCTTTGTTCTAAGAACCTCTGTGCATCGAGGTGCTCTTACATTAGCGCTGGAATCCAATGACAGCCAGGCAAGACGGTGGCTCCAAGCGAGGGCGCTAAGAAAAAAGAAAAAGAAATGACACTGCATTGGACGCCCGGCAAGACCGACGCAGGATGAGGCCAAAAACTTGTCCGTCGGCGGCGAGGCGGGGCAATCCGCTCCAGCGTGGCAGCGATGCAGGGGCATTACAAATGAGGCCAAAAACACGCGACTGAGCAAACAGGAAAACCACGACATGCACGAGAAGAGAGAGGGAAAAGAAGGCAAAGGGGGAGCAACGGCAGAGCTTCGAGCGTGAAAACTTCCGGCGGACAGAAAAA